TAACTCTGATATGGATATGGGCAAGCCAAGTGTTGTCTTAATAACCTGTGCTAAGCACCTACCCAGTTTTTTTTTTTTTTTTTTTAAGAATTTTATTTATTTATTTGAGAGGTAGAGCTATAGACAGTGAGAGGAAGAGACAGAGAGAAAGGTCCTTCCTCCAGTGGTTCACTCCCCAAATGACCGCAACAGCCGGAGCCCCGCCGATTGAAGCCAGGAGCCAAGAGCTTCCTCCAGGCCTCCCATGCAGGTGCAGGGGCCTGAGCACTTGGGCCATCCTCCACTGCTTTCCCAGGCCACAGCAGAGAGCTGGATTGGAAGAGGAGCAGCCAGGACTAGAACCGGCACCCATATGGGATGCCAGTGCCACAGGTGGAGGATTAACCTACTGCACCACAGCACCGGCCCCTACCCAGTTGCTTTTTAATTTAACAATAGGTATCTCAAAACACTAATTGCAGGGGTGGCATTTGGCTTGTCGGCTAAAGTACCAGCTGTCTGCTTCCAATCCAGCTCCCTTCTAAAATGCCTGGAAACCAGTGGATGGCAATTCAAGTACTTCAATTCCGCTACCCATGTGGGAAACCTGGATGGAATTCCAGGCTTCTGCCATCAACCTGGCCAGCTCAAGCTATTGTGGCCATTTGGCAAATGGACTGGCAGATTGAAGATTTTTCTCTATCTTTCTCTCTCTTTCAAATAAATAAATAAATGAATAAATAAATCTTTTTAAAAAATCACTAATAGCAGAGTGTGGTCTAAAGATACAAGAAAAATCTAGATTTTTAAGAAAACATTTGTATGTACTTTTGTACATTTTGTACTTTTGTACACTTTGTATGTACTTTTCTGTGTGCTTCTTCACTTTGTATTTCTTTGCATAGAGAAAAGGGGAAGAGATGTATTCTTCATATATGAATATATATATACCACTTAACCTTCTTATTCTAGCAATGTGATGATATATTTAAAACCCCAAATTCTCTTATCAATAAAGCAGAAAACAGAGTAAGGCAAATATTATCTCTACAAATAAAAATACTTGCAATAATATTGAGCCCCAAAATCTAGGGTAAGTTTCAAGTGCTACATCTACCAAGTCATTATTATGCTAAATTAAATATTTTTCAAAGCAAAGGGTGTCATCTTACCATTTTGCTATCTAGTAGCAATGTGTGCATCTAGACTCTAATTTTAGTTGTCCAAGTGGCTGGGTGACCAAGATAAACATATCTCCCTTTCTGCACAGTTGCTATATCTACAACAGGGGAAAGAGACAGAAACACAAACACAGGTTGCAGATGTAGACTTAGAAAAATTGGGCTCAATTTCAAAAAAACCTCTTGAGGCAGAACAACTTAAGAGTATGTGCAAGGGCCAGCGCCATGGGACACTAGGTTAATCCTCCGCCTGTGGCGCCAGCATCCCATATGGGCGCTGGTTCTAGTCCCGGCTGCTCCTCTTCAAGTCCAGCTCTCTGCTGTGGCCTGGGAGGGCAGTGGAGGATGGCCCAAGTGCTTGGGCCCTGCACCTGCATGGGAGACCAGAGGAAGCACCTGGATCCTGGCTTTGGATCAGCACAGCACTGGCCATGGCGGCCATTTGGGGAGTGAACCAACAGAAGGAAGACCTTTCTCTCTGTCTTTCTCACTGTCTGTAACTCTACTTGTCAAATAAATAAATAAAAATCTTTAAAAAAAAAAGTATGTGCAACTGACGCGCACTGAACAGATTCCAGATCACCTGCCCTACAATTAAGCTGCCATTAGAAGACAACTATGAAGAGACACTCCAAAGCTCTATTCCAAAAATTATGCCATATATACTTCTCTTTTAATTAAATCTCTTACATCACATTGGCAATTATCAGAGTATCTCATAATATGTATTACTATATTTTTACATTACTTTGAAAGCATTTTCAAAAATTTGAGGGAAAATGGAATTTTGCATTTTTCTTGAATTTTTTGAAGACCCCTTGTACTTTAGTCAATTTAATATCCATTTGCTGCTGCTGCTTTTCTGAGAAATCATGTTTGAAGCATGGTACTCTTAAGTGTGTGTTTAATTACACACACACACACACACATACACACACACAAGATGCATTAATCAGCTTCTCGTTACTCTAAAGAAATACCTGAGACAAGCTACTTAGGATGAAAGGAGGTTTACTTTGACTCACAGTTGTGGAGGTTCACAGTACAAGATCAGGTGGTCCCTATGTTTCAGCATCTGGTGAGAAGACAGTGGAGCACGTGTAGAATAAGGGTTACGTGGCAAGCCAGGAAGCAGACAGTGGTGAGACCCAACCTGGCTTTATAAGCAACATACTTGAAAGAGCTCTCTTCTGAGGTCATGCCTCCATTGACCCAATGACATTTCACTAGGCCCACTTTCTAAACACCATAATTGGAAGAAGTTTCCACTCTACTAATACCAGCATCCTTAATTTTGGAGATTAAATATCTGCATGGATTTACAAGCCATATCTCATTCAAACTATAGCATGAGAGTATTTCAAAGCATTCATGTAAAAAGACACAATTTATGGATTTGATAGTCTCTCCAAAACTTCATTGAAATTTAATTGTCCTCGTAACACAGTTAAAAGATGTGATCTTCAAGATTTAATTAGGTCACAAAGGTACCACCCTCAAGAATAGATTAAGGCTGTTAATTATGGGAATGGATTAATTACCATAAGTGTGAGCTACTGATGACAGGAGGAGTGCAACCCGGTTTTTCTCTGTCATAAGTGAGTGCTTCCTTGTATTGTATGCCCTCCACCATGTTATGATGCAGCAAGAAGGCCCTTGCCAGATCCCAGGCTATGATCTTTTGCTTCTCAGCCTGCAGGCCTGTAAAAAATATGAGGGTACTTTATACATGGCAAATAGAATTAAAATATTATTTTAGTGCAAAAAATGTTTGAAGTCCACATATAATTTTATCATAATGCACATTTTCCATGAACTTTTTGAGGATCCTCCATGTATCTCTTCTGTGAATTACTCAGTCTTGAGTACTATTATAGCAGAAGAAAACAGATTAAAAATGTACTTCCATGCCCAACCATTTTCTTTTTTTTTTTTTTTTAAGATTTATTTATTTATTTGAAAGTCAGAGTTACACAGAGAGAGAAGGAGAGGCAGAGAGAGAGGTCTTCCATCCACTGGTTCACTCCCCAAATGGCCACAAAGGCTGGAGCTGCACCAATCTGAAGCCAGGAGCCAGGAGCTTCTTCCAGGTCTCCCATGCAGGTGCAGGGCCCAAGCTTCTACTGCTTTACCAGGCCACAGAAGAGAGCTGGATCGGAAGTGGAGCAGCCAGGACTCGAACCAGTACCCATATGGGATGCCAGCACTGCAGGCGGTAGCTTTGCCTGTTACACCACAGCGCTGGCTCCCCAACCATTTTCAATGTGTAACCTTTCCAGACACTCCAGAAAGATTTCCTTGGGCCTTAGAACAAAAAAAAAAAAAAATTGAACCCCTCCTCGCTCATCAAATAATATATATATATATATACATATATATATATATAGGGAAATACTGTTCTGGACTATCAATTTAAGAGTATAACATGATACTTTGGGAACTTCTCGTTGAGTTTTTTCCCTTAATCACATGGTTGAGTTGGTGGTATATTTCAGCAACTATTATTAAATGATTCATTAATTATTGATTCAGTTATTATGCAGTTATTATTCCATTGGTCATATGGTTTAGCTCAAACTACCAATGAAGGAAATGTCAACTTAAAATAACTCAGGAATAGAAACTACTTGAATTGCAAATACCTCAGTCTTGTCTTCTTCTGCATAATAATTCATTCAGCTGTTTGCATAATTTTATACACTTCTTTTTCTTTGAATAAATGTCTTTAACTTTGTTTAACCATAAAATGATGTATACAGAGTAGTCTCCCTTTATCTGCGGGTGATTCATTCTAAGATTCCAAGTGGATGCCTGAAGTGGTGGACAGTACGAAACCATATCAGTATTACATTTTTTCCTCTATCTATATACCTACAATAAAGTTCAACGTATGCATTAAACACAGTAATATATTAACAACTGTAACATAAAGAGAGAACACTTAAAATAATACAGTGTAATGAAGGCTATTTAAAATTTACTAATTGCTTCTTTATGGAATTTTCTATTTACTAGCCTGTGGGTAACTGGAACTTCAGAAAAGAGGAGAGACATAAAAATATATCAGCATCCTTATTGAGATTTAATTCATATAGCATAAAATTCACCAGTTTAAAGTGCACAATTCCATGACTTTTAGTATATTTGGTGAGTTGTGCAACCATCACCCAATACCACATTTTGCCTTGTGATACGAATTACACAGACCTTTAAATAAACACTTCCAGATATTTAAATGATTCTGTAAGAGTGCCACGGATTTTAGAGGTAGTAAGTACATATAGACTATGGATCCAGAAATACTGCCCTCAATTATAAAAGGAGGTGGTGGCAGCAAAGGGTCTCTAAATCCCTCCTAGCTCTAATCATCTATGAGAGTGTTCGTTCTTGAGGATAATTATAGGCAAACAGCACAGAACATGAACTACACCGCTTCGTGAAAGTATACAGTCACCATAGTAGGGTGATAACTTGCACCTCATCTTATCCATTGCAACCTGGGCTTCCTTTTTGTAATGATGCTGGCTCAGTGACATGTGTGACAACAGGTCCTCACCAAGGTACTTGGTAGTTTCATTGGACATTACTGGTGATTTGGATGCACTGGGTTCCGTTTCCCTTTACCCTTTTTCTTCTCACCCTATCCTTACCTGCCTTTGCTCAATTAGAACTGTGCATGCCCTTGTTGAAAACAACCTTAGAAAAGAGGTCTAGGTTCCTTAGGCCATGACTAAGAATCTCTTGGATAAGTTAAACTATCTAAGAAACTCTAGAGCTACACTTGTCAATATGGCAGCTATTACTTATAGGTGTCTGTTGAACTCCTGGATCGTGGCTAGTCTTCGTTGAGATGTGCGGTAAACACAAAGTACACACCATAACAGATTGATTACTATAACAATATGTCAATTATCTGGTAAGTAATAAGAGACTATTTTAAATTGATAACATGTTCACATAATAATTTTTAATATATTGGGTTAAAGAAAATATAACAACACCAAAAAGCAAGACATTGTGACTGCTGTGTAGCTACAGGGGCCCCAGAATCCATAAGTTTAGGGACTATAGTGGGCTGCTTACATTGCCCCAACAACAAATACACACACTTTCCATTAGTAATTTTTATTGCTGGTTTGTGTTTCTCAACGCAAAGCACTCTTTGCCTGGGGTAAAAAAAAAAAACAGTCTTGGGAAATTATTTCAGTTCTGTTATAAATGACTAGGTTATCAGGTAAGGTATTTTTAGTTTCTGTGTCTTGTTTTCTCCCTATTAAAGAAGAGCTTGGACTAAGGACTTTCAGTGTCCTACCCAGGCCTCTTATTCCATGATTCTGTGTTTCATAATGAGTTACCTAATAATTTGGAAAGTTTCTTGTGTTTGTGATTTTGTTGTTGCTGTTTTTGATTCTCTCTTTTCCTTCAATCCCGGGGAGCACAGTGTTAGGTAGGAACAAGTGGGACAGTCTGCCTCCACTCACACTCACAAAGGGTACAGTCCATATTGCATAGAAATAATGTTTTCTTAAAGTCAGAGGAAGGTGAAAATATAATTGGCTGCGAGGTATTGCCTGGGAAAATTCACAGAGTCCTCTCACATATTTTCACACTATCCTCTGGAGTGCTTCAAGTTCTATTTATTCTTCAGGCACTGAAATAACCCCAGCATATTTCAGTAACAGCTCAAGAAAGAGTATCTTTTTGACTTCACCATGTATGGTTTCAACCCAACTGTTTCCATTTCCACACCACACTCTTCTTGAGTTCGGTTCTCACAGGCTGACATATAGCCACGTCTGCCCCAAAAGGAGAAAGGAGGCTTGCTGGGAAGAGGCACGTAGAAATCCCACCCAATCATTTGAGGCTTTTATTCTGAACCTGGCACTGAATCACCGAATATCTCCCTTTGCCTGTTATAAATAGGTTCTAAGGCTATCGCTCCAGCTCACTGGGAAAGAATGCAAACAGTCCCAGGAACGAAATACTCAGGGAGCTTGTTCTGCTTGGTAAGAGCTATTTTATTTTAAATGACAACATTCTCCTCCCGACGCACAGAAAGCCTTACATTTTTAGTCTGTGAGTTTCTCATCCTTAGGAATGATGTGAGGTTTCACAGAGAAAAAAAAGGGAGGAGAAAATAGGAGAGAGGAAGTTACATCAGGAGTAAAAATGTGCTGAACAATACATTTCTTTCTTCGTTGATCTTCAAAGATTCAAACACTGTGCAGGGGCCCAAGCACTTGGGCCATCCTCCACTGCTTTCGCAGGCACATTAGCAGGGAGCTGGACTGGAAGTAGAGCAGCCAGGACTCCAACTGGAGCCCATATGGGTTGCTGCCTCTGTAGACCATGGCTCCAACCTGCTGAGCAACAGCACTGGCCCCATGACATCTTTCTTGAAATCTAAAATAGAAAATGATTGGAACAATTGTCCTGAGATTTTTTTAGTTGACTTTTGGTCTAGGAAACATAAACTTTTCCAAAATTGAGAATCCTAAGTGCAAAAGTAATGTTAGAGTCATGAACCATCCCAAATAGCAATTCACCAAGCTTTTTCACTAGTTCACTCTTCAACTGTGTCTATCATACCCTAATGCCTTGCCTACACAAAGGTCTATTTTAGGTATTTGAAATTGCCACACAAAGTCCATAGAAGATCTAAGTAAAATTGGTTTTTAATTGAATATTCTACATAGCTATTATTTCCCTCTCCTTTCAATTCTGTCCTTACCAAAGTTGAGCAGATACACAAAGTGACTACTGACGTGTGTATTAACTTTGCTCTGGTTTTGGAAAAGCATATACACAGAGCTGTCTACTTTTTCTAATAAAAATGTGTTCTTCAAAAAAAGTTTTTTGAGTAAAATTGTTTCAGCTTCTTGTATTTATGGTTTTCCCCATGGTCCTTACCATCTTGTGCCTATGAGGCCACTGATTCCTGGCCAATGATTCACTCATCAACGCTGTGTCATGTGCCACCAAAATACCTAAATAAAATGGAAATTTTGATAATTACATGAAGTATAATTAATCATGATAGCTATGATATTAAATTGTGTACCTATAAAGCCTAACTCTGAAGAGCAGAATGTAAAACCAAAACAAAACTGATTGAAACCACTTGCTTTTAAAAATTACGAAGGCAGGCCGGCGCCGCGGCTCACTAGGCTAATCCTCTGCCTAGCGGCGCCGGCACACCGGGTTCTAGTCCCGGTTGGGGCGCTGGATTCTGTCCCGGTTGCCCCTCTTCTAGGCCAGCTCTCTGCTGTGGCCAGGGAGTGCAGTGGAGGATGGCCCAGGTGCTTGGGCCTTGCACCCCATGGGAGACCAGGAAAAGCACCTGGCTCCTGGCTCCTGCCATCGGATCAGCGCGGTGCGCCGGCCGCAGCGCGCCGGCCGCGGCGGCCATTGGAGAGTGAACCAACGGCAAAGGAAGACCTTTCTCTCTGTCTGTCTCTCTCACTGTCCACTCTGCCTGTCAAAAAATAAAAAAAAAATTAAAAAAAATTTTAAAAAAATCACGAAGGCAATTCAAAGAGTAAAATAGTTGGAAAATAAAGAACACATTTGGAAGGAATTGAAGTGGCCAAGAACCATATTTGAGGTGCAGATCACCTTTACAATTTCCACTTCCTTAGGAAAGATAGAAAAAGTTATCTTTAGTCCTTTTCCCTCGTCAAAGTAAGTAAAGAGTAATTAAAATCTGGACAACACCTTTAGATTTCAAGAAACAAAATACCTATAATGTAATTTATAATAATTGAGAACAAAAAGGCATGTAAGAAGAGTTGGTGGCTAAAAATACATAGGGATCTGAATAATTAGTATCAAAATGATTCATCTACCAGACAAATGGACATCACTGTTTGTAATCATATCACCAAATGAAAATTTAAAAAATCCATTTAAAATGCCTTTTCCTCTGCAAATATAGACATTTCAAGTCAATGTAACTGTAAATAGGGTCCTAAGTACAAAGTAGATAAAAATTTAAAATTGAATTAAAATAGAGCAACCTCCCAAAGCCTCCACTTACTTTGTCCTTGGAAATGAGCTTTAGAACTTAGTTTCAATCAAAAACAAGGATTTCCGCTACTATTTTCTTTGTCCTTACAATATAATTTTTTTACAACCAATGTCAGCAAAAGTGCTATGTCAGACTTACACACTATCCCTCAGTCCTGTAACTCATTTCACTTTTTAGTTCTAACTCAACTCTTGGGGAAAATATTCCCTCCAGGAAGAATATCTTCAGTATACTCTTTAGTTATCTATTTCATTGGGGTCATAGAGTTTCCTCATTAAAGTTACCCCAAGATGTTAAAATTGTGAAGATCACTAAACATCAGACTGCAGTCTTTGCAAGCTGCAAAGACAAACCGAACAAAAAATGCTTCCAACAGAAGTCCTGATGTCTGGTAAGCAGAGTGTGAGTAAGTTTCCAAAGAGGAAGACAAAAGTTCCTTCCAGACTAGCTGTGCTCTCATTTGATTAAGACACAGTATTAAGATATGGAGGCTCAAAAATGAATTCTGAAACTATTTTAAGTATTGGAACTCACCAAAGAAGAAATGGCTGTGAAAAGTGTCAATAAAGAGGTCACTGAAACATTAAATAGAAGATAGATAGATAGATAATAATTTATTTTAATTTATTAGACAGGTAGAGTTATAAACAGTGTGAGAGGGAGACAGAGAGAAAGGTCTTCCTTCCATTGGTTCACTCCCCAAATGGCCTCTACAGCCGGCACTGCACTGATCCAAACCCAGGAGCCAGGTGCTTCCTCCCGGCCTCCCATGCGAGTACAGGGCTCAAGCACTTGGGCCATCCTCCACTGCCTTCCCCGGGTCACAGCAGAGAGCTGTACTGGAAGAGGAGCAGCCGGGACTAGAACCAGCGCCCATATGGGATGCTGGCGCCACAGGTGGAAGATCAACCAAGTGAGCCACAGCGCCGGCCCCAGATAGATAGTAAATTTTAAAAACCCCTCTACTCTGCTAACAAACAAGCAATACTGCTGAGCTCCTCTTTCTATGCTTGGTGTTTTCTTTGGTATCATTGGGTATTCAGAGATTTTGCTGCAAGCGCTGCCCTCAAAGATTTTACATCTGGGGAGATAATCAATAATCACAGACCAAATATAAATGAAACAAGGCTGTAACTAGGGTATTAACAATACATGTACTAGGAACTTGGAAAAATAATAAATATATTCTCCGGAAGAGTTGTCTGGGACCAACTCATGAAGGAAGAATGACATGAGCTGGACCCTTAAGATAGGCTGGAGTTGACTGAGTTGGATTGAGGAACAATACAGGAGGGCCTGAAGAGAGGGGAGGACTATAATGAGTAAAGGCTTTACAGAACACAACGTGTTAGATAAAAAGAGATTACTGAAGGGGCCGGCGCTGTGGCATAGGGGGTAAAGCTGCCACCTGCAGTGCCGGCATCCCATAAGGATGCTGGTTCGAGTCCCTGTTGCTCCTCTTCCAATCCAGCTCTCTGCTATGGCCTGGGAAAACAGTAGAAGACGGCCCAAGTCCTTGGGCCCCTGTACCTACGTGCGACACCTGGAAGAAGCTCCTGGCTCCTAGCTTCAGATCGGCGCAGCTCCGGTCATTGCAGCCAATTAGGGAGTGAGCCAGTGGATGGAAGACCTCTCTCTCTCTGCCTCTACTTCTCTCTCTGTGTAACTCTGACTTTCAAGTGAATAATTTTTTTTTAAAAAAGGAGATTACTGAGGACACTGGTGCTCATGGAGAAAGAGTGAATGTTAGCAAGTAAAGGGTATTAGAATGCAATACTAGAAAGTAGTTATATATAATCCAAAAAGAACTATAAACCTGAGGCCGGCTCCGTGGCTCATTTGGTTAATCATCCGCCTGCGGCGCTGGCATCCCATATGGGCACCGGGTTCTAGTCCTGGTTGCTCTTCTTCCAGTCCAGCTCTCTGCTGTGGCCTGGGAGGGCAGTGGAGGATGGCCCAAGTGCTTGGGCCCTGCACCCGCATGGGAGACCAGGAGGAAGCACCTGGCTCCTGGCTTCGAATCAGAACAGCGCGGGCTGTGGCGCCCATTTTGGGAGTGAACCAACGGAAGGAAGACCTTTCTCTCTCTCTCTCTCTCACTGGCTAACTCTACATGTCAAATAAATAAAAAAAAATTAATGAGCATTTAAGCAGAGATGAATTCCTCTGGCATTTCCAGAGATTCCTGTTACCTGCAGAAGGGGATGGATGGGAAAATGCCATGGCAGAGGTGGGGCCGGGTTCTAGTCTCGGTTGCTCCTCTTCCAGTCCAGCTCTCTGCTGTGGGCCAGGGAAAGCAGTGGAGGATGGCCCAAGTGCTTGGGCCCTGCACCTGCATGGGAGATCAGGAAGAAGCACTTGGCTCCTGGCTTTGGATCGCTGTAGCAGCCATTTGGGGAGTGAACCAACAGAAGGAAGACCTTTCTCTCTGTCTCTCTCTCTCACTGTCTAACTCTATCTCTCAAATAAATAAATAAAAAAAAGAACTATAACCGTATGAGATATGCAATGAAGGGTTACTGTGCTTTCTGTCATACAACTTAAGTCATGAATAACAAAAGCCTTTTTAAAGTTTTTGCAGGGCTCTTCGAAATGTTACTCAAATTGAGGAATGTTGTAGAAATTTTTCTAAAATTATTATTTACTTACAACTTAAGTCTTCCATTTTATTCATAAAATCTGCCAGTGATTTATTCCACATATACTCTTATAAAGTTATAGACAGACTCAACACAAATGTACTTACATATTCATTAATTCATTTATAAATTCCATATTTATTGAGAACTCTCTCTGTGTCAAGGACTTTACTAGGCATTGAGGATACAAAAAAGAAACGAAAGTTCATGACTTCAATGATTCCAGTAGGAAAGACAAACATATAAACAGAGTGTGACAGAGGGATAAGTCTGCTGCAGCACCTCTTTAATAAGTTAGATGGCTGCATCTCCTCCAGCTTCTTTTCAAAGAAATACAAAACTCATAGGCAATCCAAAATGTCACAGGAAAAATGGTTCTGTAAAGCACTATGCAGTGCTGGTCACCCAAATGTTACATCAGAATGCACAGAAGGTTTGAGCTGTTTGACCTTGAAGCCTGTGGATTGGCAGGGATGGTAAGCAGGGTCTGGAGGGAACTGACATATACCAGACATCTCTGGTGTTGGGAAAAAATGATATTATTGGGATATACACTCTCTGCTTCCAGAAATTCGTAGAAAGTGCTGTAGCAACTGACAGAGCACTGTCAACTTTAGCTACATCAGATGACATTAGATCTAAATAAACGAAGAAGTTATGCAGTGTTATTCTTTTAAGTTATGTCTACTCTTTCAGCTTCATATATGAATAAATGGAATTATTTCAAGTGTCTCCCAGCTTCAAATTATCTTACCACCTGGACACTGAACACTAACATTTTAATGGACTCAATTTGTTCCATTAGAAATTAAACCAAAGACTTGAATGAAAGATGCCTAGTTGAGATAATGCATGTGACTGAAATTCATTAGCCGCAACTTAATGTGGAACCCATTCACCCCACTATTAAGGCTGGTATCAAATTCTCTTCCGTTGTACAAGGGGGAAGGTGGGAGAGCAGCTGGGGGTAGTGTGGCAAGAAAAATCAGGAATGTGGACACTGAGTGCTGTGTAAGGAAAACAGATTTGTATCAAATTCATAGTTTGGTTTGTGATTGCCTATGTGACTGTGTGTGACTCCACCCTGTTGTTTGATGCCACCTCTGTGTACAGCTGAGTCCCACAATTTAAGTAGAATCTTGTCCTATTACAGAAATCAAACCTGCTGTCCATGATTATAGTTTGTGAGCCCTTTTAATAAAGGAGTGTCTTCCCCCCCACCCCAAAGAATCGTGTTTAAAGATGGTACCTGCAGAAAAACTGCTTGCATTCAGTTGCTGGCTTGTCCTCTTTCAGGCTGTGTGATCTTGAGGATGTAACTTGATCACTCTGTATTCAAGTTATTTTCTGCTAAAAGGAATGAGAATCATACCTAACTCAGAGTGTCGCTGAGATGCTTAAAAGAGACAACACAGAAAGGGCTCCTTTAATATAGAAAGACCAAAGTTCACATCAGTTAAAATTAGTTTTTATGGGACTGAAAACATCATCCAAAGTCACCAAATTGACTTAGACCTGAGACAAAATTAGGCACACTGATAAAACAGAAGACTGAGGCACTTAGGAGGATAATTATACATTTACATTGTGCTTTACAGGCTATTCTAAAATACTTTGCACTGTTAGAAGAGCTTTAGAATAACTATCATCGGTACCTAACATTAGGATTCTCGGAAGCATGGCCTAGTGCCATAAGAACTTTTCTTGCACAGTTCTAGAAAGAGCTTCTTAAATATTTATGTGGAAGAACACAAACAGTAGGACACCTACAGTCTTAGGTTGGAGAACAGTTCAGAAGGAACTGTAACAAGTGGGAATTTCTTTGATGTCTTCTCTGTGCCTATTTTGTCCTCCACATCAAATTTTACTGTCTCAGATATACAGTCTCTTCACAAAAATCTAAAATGTGCTAATCCTAATTATACTGGCGTATCAGCTACTGGTAACCTAACACATGTTCCTAGAGACTCAGTTGCTCCAATTAGAGAGGCATAACAACAGGAAACACAAACAGAATCCCAAATAGCACACTGCCCCTGAAATAGATCGCATAACTTATTTAACACACAGTTGTGTCAGGAAGGAAAAACATCAAATATTATTCTCGGATAATTTTCTCATATATCAATAATTTGAAAAGAATTGAAATGCTATTGAGTGCATTTTTCATGTGCAGAATTTGTTTAAATTTATTAGAAGATATACCGGATTCTCAGCATTAAGTCCTCATGCTGATGTTCAAACAAAGACTTAGACTGACCAAATTCCTCTTCTTGAAGTTGCCAGAGTTTTATATGAAGAACGCTATGCAGTGTATAGTTATTAAATATATAGCAATTCAGTTTCTTCTTTAATATATCATAGTCGATCATTTTTGACCAAGGAAAGGAGAGAGAAATAGAAGAAATAAACAAGCAAATCCTATTAAAGTCTGACATTCTTATACAAAACAGAAAAAAAGTGACTGGCCAATAAAAGCATAATTTCTAACTTCATTCTCTCAAACAGAAGAAAAAAAGGCTAATAAAATGTTCTCTATACTATATCAATATATGCATTCTTCCAGCTCTTTGAATTGCTCCTTCTCATACTTCTCAATGAAAGCTTTAAATATTGGTTCTGATTTGCTAGATATTTTCCAATTCCTTGTAGAATTATGCAGGGTATGCAGTATCTCTCTTTGAGCACATAAATGTTCTGGGATGAGTGCCATCAGTCATTCCAAAATACAAAAATGGACTATTTTAATTACAGAGAAGTTAATTCATGGATATCAAGTTGGCAGTGACACAAGGATAAAAAATAATCTCTCTCCACGGAAACCAAATACAACAAGGAAATTCTAATTGAATCACAAGTGTTACATGGAAATGAGCCAAACTGTTTTGGTCATGGACATTTATTTTCCACCACTTTTATAAAAATAAAAAGTGTCACACTGCTGTGAAATTCCAAAGGTATTTCTTCCCTGCAAATCAAAATTAAGGAAAATTAGTTTATCAGAAAAAATATACGGACTTCTGAATAAACCTGTTGAATTGAACACACAGGTTTATCATTACTCAATTGCATTATTATGAAGGGACTATGTTTTAAAACAGATTTATTTACTTGAAAGACCAAGTATGAGAGGGGCTGGCACTGTGGTTTAGTGGGTAAAGCTGTTGCCTGCGGTGCCGGCATCCCATATGGGTGCTAGTTCGAGTCCCTGCTGCTCCTCTTTCCATCAAGCTCTCCACTATGGCTTGAGAAAGCAGTAGAGGATGACCCAAGACCTTGGGCCCCTGCATCTGCATGGAAGACCCAGAAAGAAGCTCCTGGCTCCTGGCTTTGGATTGGCACAGCTCCGGCCATTGCAGCCATCTGGGGAGTGAACCAGTGGATGGAAGACCTCTCTCTCTCTCTCTCTCTCTCTCTGCCTCTCCTTCTCTCTATGTGTAACTCTGACTTTCAAATAAGTAAATAAATCTTAAAAAAAAAAAAAGATCAAGTAGGAGAGACAGAGACACAGTGACGGGGGGTACATTAGCAGGGAGCTAGATTAGAAGTGGAGCAGCCCGAAAATGAACTGGTGCCCATATGGAATGCTGGTGCTGCAGGAGGCAGCTTAACCCATTACACCACAGAGCCAGCCCACAGGGAATATTTTAAAATATAAAGTAAAAGGATTAATTTTAAAAAAAAAGAGGAGAGGAGATTAAAATAAAGAAGAGGTGTTGTAGAACTGAACCACCATTTGCATTATTTGTGACTTTGCTTTTATTCTTCAATTCTTAAGTCCAATCCCTCAGGAAGCCCTCCCTGTTAGACCTACTGCTAAAATGCAGAGTTTAGCCATCTCTCTCCACTTCCACCACTATGCTCTAGTCATGGCCATCATCTTCTCTTCCTGGATCTTTGCAGTAATTGCTTCCTTGGTCTCCACTACTACTGTCCATTCTTAGCATATCAGCTGGACCCCTTCTTTTCAAACTGTCACATCCTGTAACAATACCAGTCATTTTAAACACATGCCTGCCCTCTTGCATCACAGAGAAGTCTACTTTACACAATAGCCCACAATGTCATACCCTGTCTGGACTCCTGGTTCCACCCTGACCCAATTTTACCACTCTTACCCTTGTTAATCAGCATGGGACACTAACTACACTCCAGTCCTGGGCACAGTAGCTACACTTCTGCCTTAGTTTATAGGCACTGCTCTTTCTGCCTGAAACATACTTCCCCTCAAATTTACATAATCCAGCTTCTTGCTTTGCTTTCTCTTTGACACCCTTTCCAATAAACCTAAAGTGAAATCCCATTTCATATATACTTGATCTCTGTGGGGAGCAACTCGGACTAGACTAAGTTACTGGAATTAAGACTTATTCTAACTTACTTAAGGTATACTAAGCTGATCTTCTGTATATTAAGATAATCGAAAATGAATCTTGATGTGAATGGAAGGGGAGAGGGAGTGGGAAAGGGGAGGGTTGTTGGTGGGAGGGACGGTATGGGGGGGGAAGCCATTGTAACCCATGAGTCGTACTTTGGAAATTTATATTCATTAAATAAAAGATAAAAAAAAAAAAATAAAGAAAAAAAAAAAAAAGACTTATTCTATGCATCTGCTCTCCCACAATATGGCGCTGGGAGAGAAGAAAACAGCTTCTACACAGCTGCCTCCAGTTCAGCCAATAAACTGTAGGACTTGCTCCTGATTGGAGGAGAGCAGCGTACTCGGCGTGTGGGCAGCCGAGTTGGGATTGGCGGAGGAGGACTATAAAGGAGGAGAGAGACGGCATGCACCAGGAACATCTAAGGGGAACATCTATCTGAAGGAACACCTGTGCAGCCCCCGAGAGAGCCGGCCGGCGGTGTGCCGCTCCCCTGCGGAAGTGGGGAATGTGGTAGGGGGAACCGCCCTTCCACGGAGGTGGAAGGGACGGTAGCCAACCCGGGAAGAACCAGCAGCAAACCCGGGGAGGGCCGAGCAGACGAAAGAACAGCGCAGGGTCCTGTGTCGTTCCTCCACGAAGACGGGGAGTGACAGATCTCCATTTAGGCTACCTTATTTCTTGCCCACAGCGTTTGTCACTCTCCAACACACTTTATAACTTATAATGTATCAGATCTGTTGTGTCTAGTAGAATGTAAGCTC